GGAACCCCACAGGAAAACAAAACCCACTCAGAGCACGGCTACTGAGTGCCAGTAAACCTCCACAAGGGATCCGCAGTCTCAGGAACTGGAACACGTCTTCCTTCCTTCGTTTAGGGCATTTCTGGAGCATAGATGTGACTTGCCAGATGGCCCTGGTACTGATGACAATCCCTACATTGAACACACATAAAACAGTGTAGACTTACCCTTCAGAGAAACAGTTTCACCCTCTCAGGGAGTCACGCAATCATTCGGGAATTACCTTTTCAGCACTGACTGTGTATCACATTCTGACAAGAGTTATGGGAACGTCGAAGCACGTGCGCACAGCCTAGGAGAGGGACATGAGACCCGTCACCTCCCCAAAGCACACAGGCCAGAGTCATCAAAAGAGAGGCCACGGCCAGAACTCGGCAAGCCAGGCCAGTGCAGAGCGATTCAGAATTGAGGGCTGACTGGGGGGTGTTTCCCTCCAAAAAATGGAAGGGCATGAGTAGAGACAAAATACCAGAGATGGATTTGAACTGGGTTGTGAGCAGTTTTTTGTAGGTCGCCAGGAGCCCAGCCAAGTGAAAGTACTTTGCAAACCTCAAGGGTACTGTTCCACTTCCTACGCTCGATGCTGACCATCTTCTGAGGGATGGCAGGGATGCTCTGGGGACACTCCCACGGCCACCACCTCATACAACCTGCTGTGCTGAGGTTTACCTACAGTATGTTAGAGAAGCACTCTAATGCCCAGCCACAGGGTTCCATGGTTCTGAATCCATATTGGCCATCACCGTTGGCCCACAGGCCCTGGATTTTTGCACACCCACCAGTGACAGTGAGCCTTGGCATTCTTGCTCAGACGCTGGGGATCCAAAGAGATCACATCACAGCTCCACTTGACCACTGAGGCTGAAGACAAGTCCTCCACACCCAGGGCCCTTGGACACCTACAGGAGCCAGCACCATCCTCCCCCAACAGTCTGCCCACCCCGGACTTGCAGAGATACTCAATCAGGAGCAAAACAGCTTTGCAGTCTTCAGAAATTCCCAAACGAGGCTATGTTAGGGGGTTTATGTTGGAGAATAAGACAGGATTTACTTTTTACCAGTCCACATATGTATTTAATCCTATTCCAAATATAATTTATAAAATAGATAATTTACAAAATGCAAGAGGAATCAGTATTAGTTTTATCAGATCTTAGAAGCTAAAGCATGTACGCCTAGCATAAAAGTTATCGATATTACTGAAACTTACAGTATCTCAGCCAAAAACCTAAAAGAAGCCATATCTGAAATAAACTGATCTGGACATGTAGCTGCTGATTATCTGAACTAGAAAAAAAATATTCTTAATCCTATCTTACCCCTTAAAAAGTTAACATCTTTCAAAGTACTCAATTCAATAAAGCAAAGTTTTGTGTAAAAGAATTTAATTCAACAAATGTGTTGCTGATCCCACAAACAGACTCACATTAAAACCCTTCTGACTTTCCAAAACTAGTTTAAGACTAAATTCCTTATATAATTTCGCCTCTCTAAAAGCGAAGTCAGGGATTACACTGGGCACAAATAGCTAAAGACATTAAAACTTCAAAAGCTGAAACTTTCCATGTGCTGATTCTAAAAGAAAGAAAGCCGCTCGCACACACGCAACCCCTACATATGGATGCAGGCTGCTGAGGACAGTCGAGTGACCGAGTAAATGAATGAACAATCATCTACTTAAGCTTTAGTTCCTTACGTTAATATAGAAATCTCTAGAAGTCACCATCTGAAAACTACCATCTAGACATCATCACGTGTGATGCAGGCATTCAATGTTTATGCCTCCTCTGTCCTTCTCTGAAACACACAATGTATCTTCAACAAATCCTGTAGCTTCTGAACTCATTACACTAACTGCACTCAGCAGCATCGTAAAAGTTGTTCTGCAGAAGTTGGGAAGCTTTTAGTCCTGACTCCTCTGACCTTGGGGGATGTGGCTGGGCCAAATTACTGGGCCGTGATTAAATGAAACAATGCCACAAAGGACTCGCAAGCTGGCAGAACACGGAAAGTGCTGGATTGATGGTGGTGGCTGCTGTTGTTATCATTAGCGTCATCATGGGAGAAAGGAGTAGGTGGGGAAAAACTCATCTCCTTTTTGAGGAGCTACACGGCCTTAATTTGCTACCAGAATGTTGTTGTTGTTAGTGCCATTAAGTCAATTCTGACTCACACCAACCCCTGTGACAGAACAGAACTGCCCCACAGGGTTTTCTTAGCTGTAATCTTTACGGGAGCAGATCACCAGTCTTTCTCCCATGGAGCCACTGGATTGGTTCAAACTGCCAACCTTTTGGTTAGCAGTTGAGCACTTAACCATTGAGCCACCAGGGCTCCTCTGATACTAAAATAGAGGGTTTAAAATTCTGATTTTTTCTGAGGGCTCCATCATACGATTTCTGTGCCAGTTTCCTAAGCTTTAAGAATAGAAGCGTCATTCATTCAGTTTAACTCTAAAATAACTGTAAACCCTAAAACTATGAAGCTCTACCAAATACTGTGTTATCTATCTCACAAACATCACAGTTTTCTCATTGCAGCAAGCATGTGGCATCACCTTCCTTTGAGGCCCATGGGGACAAAGGGGCATGTGTCAATGCTGAGTTAATAATAAAGACCCAGAAAGAGGAATGATACCACAACGCCCAAAACGCCTCAGAAGGCTAGCACAGCGTGCTTTTCATTTAAAAGTGCCTGTCTGCGTGACGACATAAGGAAGAGTGCCCAGGGCTACTATACCACAGGAAAGGGGGACATGCGTTTGCTGTGATAAATCCCCATCCCAGGCTCCGGACATAATTAGAAACAGGATTCAGGTGTGTGGCCAGCAGGCCCGTCGCTGCCCTCGTGTCCGAACATGATTTCACGTGCATCTACTGGAAGGGCCCATGGGAGGGAGCTCGGTCGCTCTACGTTTCTGGTAAGACAACTGAGCGTTTCATTTCGACTGTAGCTTCTCGCTGCCCTCCAGCACTGGGCGGTGAGATCACCGGGAAACATATTGCAAGGGACCAGGAAACATATTTCTATGTGGGACCAAAACAGTGGAAAAATGTCCACATCAACCCACTGAGGACAGCTCTGTGTGATGCTCTTTCTGCTTATTTGCGTTAGCTCACAGGAATGCAATGGGCATCACACCTAACGGGAGGAGCAGTTCTGCAACCAGGAGATAAAGATAACAGAGGAATTTGGCCCACACGATTATTGCTAGAATTCCCAACCAAAGGAAAAACAGTGCCCTGTGCTTTCCAACCACCAAGTCCGAGCGGTATGAGACGGCCACAAAGGCTTGTGCCCCCAACACACACAGTCCCCCGAGAACCACCCGCTGCCACACACATCCTGAAGGAAGAGGAGACTGCAGAGCCGGGATGGGCTTGTTGGTAAAGGTGCTGCCATCTGAGAGGCAGTGCCAACGTCACACCTCACAGCCTCTCACACCTCCTACGGCTCTAGTTCTGTCTGCTTGACATTGCTCTTCCCTTAGCTTTGGGAGTTTAATCAAGTTCAGTTCTGAGTGACTATGACTGTCATCGTCCAAGAGAAGGCACAAGACAGTTAACTGTCATGTGTGTGTGCCCGAGAGGCTTGGCTCTGCAATATTCTCATTTTTATCTAAATAAAAATTGTAAAGAAGTACAGCAGACATAAGTAATTTGTACATTTTTTAAATGCCTCCAAATTTATTTTTTTAAATTTCCACATTTATGATTTGGATCCGGGTTGTTCTAATGACAACTCTCAAGACAAGCTTTATAGGATTTAAATTTGAAGCTCGGATAGATATGTAGAAGCACCATAATGCAAGTCAAGAAAACTCAGAAATTCTTGCTTTCTCTCTAAATTTTAACTGACTACTATTTTCGTTAGCATGCCAGCAAAAAGGTAGTATTCACTATCTGATTGTTTAAAACATTGTCAACTCCCATGCTTTCTTTGCAGAAACACTCAGAAAGGTGACAATGGGTTCAGTCGTAGCCTAGAACCAACTCATGCCATCCACACACAGCCCTGACTACATGTTGCACACACGCTTAACTGCAGGGAAGAAAGGAGCCCACAGCCAAGCGAACTTCTAAGAATAACCCTATTGAAAGGCTGTCTTCATCAGATAGCCCCACCGCTCCATCCTGCCTCAGGATGTAGTCTGATAAAAAAATGGCAAAAAAATAAAAACAGCAGCAAGCTATGAACCCCGCCCTCATGCAGCATGGCATGTATATGCAGTGTGCCTGCGTCCAGGGCACCGGCTTCACCGGCCTGATGGAGCCTGACGTCGGAGCGCTGGAGGCCAGCCCCGCCCATAGGAGATGGCACTTGGGCGCTTCGTGCCCAGAGAGCACTCTGTCTGGGTCATCTGTGGCCCACCTGTCGGGAAAGCTATTTAGGATAAAATACAGTCAGCCAATTCAGTGAAGCCAGCGGAGCAGAGCAGCACCTCATGCTGCTGGGCAGAGATCAACAATAAACACCAGGGCTTCAGATGCTCCTACTCCCGCCCTGAGCCCAGCGCCATCCCTGGGGAGGACACGCTGTCATTCCCAACACCAGCAGGGCCGCTCCAGGGGGGACCGCTCCGCTCAGGCCAATCTGTATTCGATGCTGCAGCAGCAGTAATTAGGGCTGAGAAAGGAGACGAGGCAAGCAGGGAGGCAGCCGCAAACATGGGGGCAGCTTGATTTGGTTTAGTCTTATTAAGGAGTCCCTGGGTGGTACAAGCAGGCTTGACTCCTAACCGAAATGTTGGAGGCTCAAGTCCACTCAGAGGTGCCTCAAAAGAAAGGTCTGGCAATCTACTTCCAAAAAATCAGCCACTAAAAACCCTGTGAAGCACAGCTCTCCTCTGACACACATGGGGTCGCCATGAGTCAGAGTCAACTCGACAGCAGGCTGGTTTGGGTTTTTGGTTGGTCTTGTTAGGCCCTGGTGTTCAGCCCATTCTGAGTGCAGCAACTTACCTCATGTAGGAAGCCGGGGACAGGGGCTTGGGCTTCACCCAGGGGCAGGGGGCCTGCGGCACCGACAGGTACTGGTCGCAGAAGGCGCCCTTGCGGATGTGCTGGAAGGTGGGGAACTCCTCGGGGGAGAAGGTGGCGGCGGGCGGGGTGGCACCGGGGTCCTCGCCAGCTGGTTCCACCTTGAGCGCCATGGCGGCAGTGTGCTCCAGCGTTGTCTTGCGGGCCTTGACCGGCACGCCGTCACCCAGGTCCAGTGAGCTGTCGGTGGACAGGGCGTTGATGGCCGCCACAATGGCCGAGCTGGTGTACTGCGTGGAGTTGCCCAGCCAGGTGTCGTCAGTGACGCTGACACGCGGGGAGCCCTGTGGGGATGGTGTGGGCGAGGGGTGCGGTGAGCAGGAGGGCTGCCGGCCATTGAGGCCATACTTGCGCTTGTTGCAGGGCGAGGAGGGCCGGGAGCCCCGCGGGCCCAGCCAGCTCTCCTCAGTGACACTGGCCCGCGGCGAGGTGGACGGCGAGTGCCGTGGCGAGGCCAGCAGGTTGCAGGCCCCCAGTCCGCGGGGGAAGCCGTCCTCAGGGTCGGTGGTCTTGGGCGATACACAGGGGGACTGCCAGGGGGACGTCTGGGGGGAGGCATAGGGGTAGGAGTAGTTGGACTCATACGAAGAGGCCTCAGAATTGCAGCTGCGGGAGGACAGACTGCTGGCCGGGCTCAGGCAGGTGGGGTCCCTGTAGGCCTCGAGGCCGGGCAGAGGCAGCGTGGCCGTGGAGGGCGCCCGCCTGGCGCCAGGGACGGTGTCCTCCACCTCCACATCGTGGAAGAACGGGTTGCTGCCGTGGTGCAGGCCCAGGTAGGATGTGATCTCGATGCGGGGGCTCTCCAGGGCTGGGGCGCCGTTGGGCCGGGTGCCGCCTGAGGGCAAGAAGTACCCGGCAGGCCCGCTGTCCACTGCGCCCCCATACCCCGAAGGGTGGCCCGTTGATGGGAGGACGGAGATGACGGGATTAGACGTCTGAAGGTCATGGCACGGGGCTGGCAGTACGGGGTGCGCCGTGCTGAGCGGCAGGCCAGAACTGATACCGGAGGATGCATAGCTGTAGTGCTCTGGAAGGAAGAAGAACGAAGTGAGGGGCTATTCATCTAGTGGCACAAGCCCCCCACTTACAGACCGACTCGGGTCCCTCCACCTGACTGCTGGCCCCTGCACTATGCCCACTCCTCAGTACAGCGGCCTCTGAAAATGCCTTCGGGCCAATGTCCTGGGCCGTCCGAAACTCTTCATCAGCTGGCAGGCCCTCCTGCAACCCACTGCTTTCTGCCCTCCTCCTCTCCCTCCTTCTTGTACCCCCAGAAGCACACTGACACCCCCAGGGCCTCTGCACCCCCAACCCAACCTGGAAAGTTCTTCTCCCAAGAGCCGCAAAGCAGGCACCCTCACTGTCTTCCAGTCTTTACACAAAAGTCCTCTGCAGGGAGGCCGTCAACCAGAGTCCAGTCCCCTAACCCAACACTGGTTTCATTTTTCTCCCGAACATGAATCACAATCGCAACAGGTACGCCTTTCGCTCATGTCTCTTGCCCGGTGGAATCTGAGCCTGTGAGGGTGCAGGCTCCTGTCTGTCTATCTTGTTCCACCGCCCTTCTCAGAGTCCAGGACTGTGCCTGGCCCATAAAAGGTGCTCAGCCGGTTTAGTCTACAAATGAACGAGTGAGCGAATGAATGAATGAATGGGTCTCAGAGACAGAGATGCAGACGCTGAGGGAGATTTTCAAGGCTAATCATCACTGCCGAGGGCTCTGATGCCGCGCTTCCTCGCCGCCAGCTGCAAAGACGACGCCTCGGGGACTGGATAAAACACAGATTCTGGGGCCCCTCTAGGAGACCTGGTCCTGGCTCCGGGCCCAGGAATCCATCTCAAAAAAAAGCACCACAGCAAGGCTTAAGAACCACTGCTTACGTGTTAATTCTACCTTAGTAAGATCTTTTCAAAAGTCATTACTTAATGTAATTATTCTAACAGGAAAGCCCAGCTTCTGGGTCTCCAACTTGAAAAGACTATTATCACATCTCAGTACTTCATTACTGTACACCTAGAGATGGGTATTCCAAGGTCCCTGACAGAAACCCTAAGCCTGTTTCCGGGTTCAAGTGCACCGGCTCGAAGACACTTCACAGAGGAGTAGAGCCACCCTTCCACTCTGATGTGACCCAGAAACCCACAAGGTGGGCCCGAGAATCAGGGGTCTAAGAGTCCCCACCCAAACCCCATCACATTCACCAGCAGAGATGGGCCTAGCACCCCAAGCAGGTGGGAATCTACTTCCATCGTCATGTTTCCAGAAGTAGCCACCCAACAACTCTCTCCCGAAATACAGTATTTTATAATCCCGCTACCGAGGTTCTTGCTTTTATCAAACCTGAGTCCCGCCTGATACAAACACTATCTTCACATGCTTCATTCGCAGTGGAGAGGCCTGAGGCCTCAGACTGCCCACACGTACAGCCCCCCACCATCAGCCCGAAGAGTCACGGATCTTTGGAAAGAGAGCATGGTACCTCTCAACATTGGTGTCAGACCCACAAAAGCCTCTGCAGGCCTGTGGCAGCCCTCACAGATGACCAAGTCGATGAGCAGAGCTTCTCCCTGAGACCAGAAAGACTTATGGCAAGGAAAGACATCACTGTTCAGCCAGAAAAGAGACAGGTATTGATAGAAGAGTCAGGCACTCGCACACAAACTCAACACGTAGCAAAAAAGCAGTGACTTCCTGCCATCGCTGCCTGCAAAGCACAGAACAGAACCTGCTCACTCCCTGGATCCAGGAGTGGGTCTGAGCCCCCCAGCCCCTGTTCTGCAGAGCTCATGCAGCACCCCGCTCTGAGCCTGGGTAGCCCCCACTCTCCACAGAGATGCTGGGGGAGAAGCAAGCTCCCTGAGGAGGGTAGAGCCTTTCTGGGATACAGAATCCCCCAGAGTGGGGGCAGCCAGGTCCGGGGCCACAGAACCATCTGGACCCCAGTGGAGCCTGGGCCTGCGCAGACCCCATCTTAGTAGTTTCTGGAGGCCCCTTCCAGATAGAGAGGGTGGACATCCCATGAGGAAGGGGGACCCCTGGGGGCCCCAGGCCAGGCTGCCTGTGACCCCAGGAATACCCACCCCTGTGGGCCCCTGGGCCCCTCGGGACAGGCCTTTGCAGAGGGCCTCAACCTCTCCCCAAGCAGGACAATGAGGGCAAACCACACACTCTATTTGGCTTCAAGACAGCAGCCACCTCCGTACCCACCCTGGCACACACCTAGGGGCCCACACACAGTGGGTACAGACATGGGGACCCACACCTGGGGACCCACACCACGCCAGCCCGGGGCTCAGACAGCAAAGACAGGCTCGCCCTGCCTCCAAAAAGGGAAGGCCAGAGAGGCGGGAAGCTGGTGTTGGAGAAAGGAAGCGTGACTGAGTGTGCATTTTAAATAGCCACTCAAGCTGCTGCATGGGGTCTGACCACCTGGAGAGAGCGGAAGGTGGGAGATCAAAGATGGAGACGCTCAGACCAAACAGCACGCAATTGGTCAGAACGCTGGGTTACCCACTCTTGCAGCTACCCTAGGAAAGTCTTTTCTTCACCACTTCGTAACTGTTACTAATTTTTACTTTTACAGTTTGTAATTCTTCTTCACTACTTGTTTAAAAGATAGGCCTTGGCACTTTCTTTCTCTTTATAGTTACATGCACATGTTAACATACTACAAATAGTCAGGGGTCTTCCCCTTCCATGGCCGGCCCAACATTTCCCACACCATTCTCACCAGGGCTTTGATTAAAAAAAAAAAAAAAAAAAAATCAGGGAATAAGCTACAAACTGTAGGATTTCAACTGCATGACATCCTGGAAAAGACAAAACCACACAAGATCAGTGTTTGCTAGGGGGAGGGGAGGGGTGACAGGCAAGCATAGGGCATTTTTAGGGCACTGACATGATTCTGTACGACACCGTGATGGTAGCTACATGACATTATTATGCATTTGTCAAAACCCACAGGACTGGAAACACAGAGAGAAACAGAGAGAGGCCTAAACTGTGGACTTTATTTAATAATAATGTATCAATATTGGTTCATCAATTGTAACAAATGTACCACAGGAATGCAAGACATTAATATTAGGAAAAACTGCAGGGAGGGGAAGGGGTATATGGGAACTCTATAATTTCTGCACTATTTTTCTGTAAGCTAAAACTGCTCTAAAATATGTATTAAATTCCAAAAAAAGAAATTAGTCTCCCAGAGAGGGGAAGTTACCAATAGTATCTACCTGTTTTCAGGCAGAAGTCAGACATTAATTAGGTCAACTAAAAACAGGGCTAAGCCAAAACCAAACCCATTGCTACTGAGTTGATTCCAACTCATAGCAACCCTACAGGACAGAGTAGAAGGGCCCCGTAGGGTTTCCAAGGAGGAGCTACTGGATTCGAACTGCTGACCTTTTGGTTAGCAGCTGAGCTCTTAACCACTATGCCAAAATAGGGACAGAGGTGTGGAAAGTGCCCTTGTATTAACGAAGTGCCTTCTTAACAATGAATAAATAAAATATTCATAAAGTGAGTGTGAACGTATATTATATGGCAGGTGTTTTAGTAATCAGAACTCAACAAGTAGTTTTACTATGTTGGACATATTCTAAAACAAAATATAAGTTAAATAAATCCCTTAGTTCCTGGTTTTTGTCTCACTCCTGAGCAGATAATTCCTGCCCCAGGGACCTCTCGTATGTGCCAAATCCACCGGAAATGAGTTTATTCAGAAAATTGATTTATTAATGACTAGCACTGTCACCATGCCTCCAGTGAGGTGTCTGCTGGCCTCGTGGGACCCCGACCCTGGATGAGGCTGGTCTCTAGGGCAGACCAAAGTCAGTTCCCTCCCTCCGTCAGGATGGACAGACTGAAGGACACACACCACAATGACTGCTGAGCTCACCTGCTTCTTTATAATCCTTCTTTCTGTTAGAGACACACTAACAATCTAATACTAAAATAAGGATTCATTTCCATTTTAAACGAAGTCGTCTACTTGAGAATTCTAAAAAGCAGTAGCCATGAAATGACGGGAAATACTAAATAGCATTCTAAATATAAGATAAAGTCCATCTCTCCAATTATCACCTAACTCCTGACACTAGAGAAGATACTATAGCACGTTCTAACAGGCCCCTCCAGGCCTTTACTGACCACCAAGTCTTTCCTTTGGGCTGCTGGACCTTAATGGTGGTTTTGTGGGATTGCTAAACTTACAAATTCCTCTATTTCCTGGGTCCTAACTTAAAGGTATGATGCAGAGCTGTCATTTATTTTGAGATGCAGTTGATTCCACTGTGAACTGCCATTTGTTGGCAGGAAGGTAATTCCAAAGAATAAAAACCCCAGCCGTTTCACACTTCCGGTGTCAGGCTCCTCAGTCTATGCCAGGACCAGGCCCTGCTCTGACGCCATCCGTTTCTCCTCCTCCAGGCTGAGGGAGCCCACAGGGTGTGCTGGGCTCACAGGAGACTGAAGCTCCTGCATGTCACGGGAAGATGGGGCGGGGGGGGGGGCCTGGTCTGAAGTGTTTCTGAATAAAAGCCTTATTTGAGGGTCAAAGGAGAAACGGGGTTTATGAAAGAAAGCACCTGGGCCGAGGGAAGGAAAAGAAGGAGGCCCCCATCCCTTCACCCACGAGTGCAAGCCTCTTCTGTGCGGCTGGCGTGAGGCGCCACACCAGGACAGAAGAGAGTGGAGACTTCCAGCAGAGGCCTGCTCGAGTGAGCCATTACTTTGACTAAAGTATTTCAATAAAACTTGATTCAATGAGGAAAAGAGAAAACACACCGCCTTTATTAGAAACAAAGACTCACCCAGCCGTGAGTTTTCCTTAATTAAACAAATTACAAAAGAAGAGCCTTAAATGCCTAAACTTAATTATGAGCACTCAACCAAACGCCAGGGGAGAGGACTATCTGACAATACAGGAACCGCTCCTGTTCCCGGTTTTAGAACAGTAACAACAGGTTAGGGCTTTCTAACTTGCCCAGAGGCCAAGCCCTCCCACAGCACTGACCCCTCCCTCC